CTTTGCATATTTGGAATTAAATATCCAACAGTCATAGTAATTTTGTTAATCTGAGAATAGTACCATTCTAGCTTTTCCACATCTTTTTTCTGCCTCTTTTCTTACCATAAAGACTGGTGAACAAAATTGATATTTACTAGGTTCAATAAGCTGTAGCTCAAGCAATTCTTTTATTTGTACTGGGAATTCATCTCTATCTTTAGGGATATAAGCCATCGCCTTAGCTCTAACAATAAATGTTTTAAATTCATCAAGTAGTTCAATAGTTGCTGTCATATTTTATTCTTTTGAGGGTCTAAAGGATTTTCTGAGCAACATTTTTCAAGAAGTTTTAAGATTTCCTCTCTGTGAGAATTTATTTTGAATTTTTGTTTTTCTTCAGTAGTGAAGAAAATATGTCTTCTTTGAGCAATATTTTCACCTTGAAATTGTTCCTCTCGTTGTCAATTTTTATTGTTTTCAAGAATCTTTCTTGGAAAACATTCATAGCTACAACTCTTATTTGTTTTGGAATCCATAATCTTTTCTTGTTAAGAGTAAAACTTATAGATTCAATTTCTTCTATGAATGGATGGTATAACTGGCAAAAGTTATTTCCAATCATAAAATCAATACCAGTTTCCAACTGATATACTGTAGGTATTCTGAAATAAAAGGTTTTCAATTGGGATTTATGATAACCATTAATTTCAATATCTAATCCTTTTACTACATTAGATGTTCTGATTTCAGATTTTCTATATCCATTCACGACTCAAGCCTCCTCAATCTGAATGGTGGGATTTGGATTTGGCTCAACGATTTAGGAAATCTAGGTTGGTGAATAGTATCTGCGATTTTGGGTGAGATTTCTCCATTACTTTGAAATAATTGTTAATTTCCAAGATATTGCATTCTTGATGATGATATTGATTGTTTGCCTCTAGTTTTTATCTAGAGAGAGAACCGTTGTACAATTATTTCTCGATAGTGGAAGTTTTGAAGATGGAGTGTCGTGGTTTTTTCCTTACCTACACCGGGAAGGTTTTTCCACGTAAATTGATTGTTTCGTTTTGTGCATGTTATTTCATTTGAGTTATATGTAATTTCTTTCCTAATAGATTCACATAAAGAGCAAGAAAAAAGAGAAATTTCACTGTTTAGAAATTGATTTAAGTTTGCATTGATATTGTGATTCTCCTAACAAAGTGGTATCAGAGCTGTGGTTATTATTGTTGAATATCTTGTGTTGAATAATGGAAGCAAATTTGAGTAGAATGATTACTTTGAATGATTCTAATTATCACGTTTGGAAAGAAAAAATGGAAGATCTCATTTATGTCAAACAGTTTCATTTATCGGTGTTTGCCTTTGAGAAGCCAGAAAAGGTATCTGAAGAAGAATGTACTTTATTACATCGACAAGTCTCTGGGTATATAAATCAGTGGGTAGATTATAATGTTTTGAACCATATTAGTGGGGAAACACATGCATGGACACTTTGGAATAAACTTGAAGAGTTGTATGCTGTAAAACAAGAAATAATAAAATGTTTCTCATAAAGTAGTTGATGGCTTTAAGGTATCAAGATAGAACTACATTGACAAATCACTTGAATATGTTCCAAGGAATAATCAATCAGTTAGCTGGAATGGGTATCAAGTTTGATGATGAGATTCAGGGGTTGTGTTTATTGGGTATGTTGCTGGACTCTTGGGAAACATTCAGAACGTCATTAAGTAACTCAGCTCCAAATAGTGTAATCAATATGGATCTAGCTAAGAGCAGTGTTTTGAATGAAGAAATGAGAAGAAAATCATATGGGTCTTCTCAGCAATCAGAGATTTTGGTTACAGACAGAAGAGTGAGGAGTAAAAGCAGGGGTTTCAAGAACAAAGAAAAAGGAAGAAGCAAATCCAGCAGGTTTGCTAATGTTGAGTGTTATCACTATGGCATGAAAGGGCACATCAAGAAATATTGTAGATAGTTGAAGCGGGATACCAAGAAGAAAGACAAAGAACAAGAGAGTGATGTTGGCAAGGAAAATGATCGAGTTGTCATCGCTAGTACAGAAGATTTTCTCATTGTGTATGATGAAGATGTTGTCAATGTTTCATGTCACGAGATCAGTTGGGTTATTGATAGTGGAGCCTCCATTCATGCTACATCTCGAGAGGACTTCTTTGCATCATATACAACAGGTGACTTTAGGACAATGAAATTGGGTAATGATGGCTTGGTTAAAGTCCTTCGTATTGGAATGTATGTTTGGAGATGAACAATAGCACAAGGCTACTTCTTAGAGGGGTAAAGCATATTCCTGAAATTCGTTTGAACTTGATCTCTGCAGGTAAACTTGATGATGAAGGATATTGCAATACCTTTAATAATGATCAATGGAAACTTACTAAAGGTGATATGGTTGTTTCTTGTGGAAATAAGCATTCTAGTTTGTGTATATATTACAGGCAAGACTCTCCAAAGGCGTTGTTAATGCTATGACAGATGAGCTCATAGCAGAATTCTGGCATAAGAGACTTACTTACATGAGTGAGAAAGGCTTGGCAGTATTGGCTAAAAAGAATCTTCTTTGTGGAATGAATGATGCTCATTTAAGAAGATATACTCATTGTTTGGCAGGGAAGCAGAATAGAGTTTCTTTCAAGAGTTCCCCTCCTTCAAGAAAACAAGACATACTTGATTTAATACATTCAGATGTATGTGGCCCGATGAAAATAAGAACTTTGGGTGGTGCCAGTAATTCTGTGACCTTCATAGATGATTGTTCAAGAAGGGTACGGGTGTATACTTTGAAGAGTAAAGATCAAGTTTTAGATGTGTTTAAACAGTTTCAAGCTTTAGTTGAGACACATACTGGGAATAAATTGCGATGCATCATAACAGATAATGGGGAGAGTATTCAGGTCATTTTGATGAGTACTACAGGCATCGAGGCATACGACATCAAAAGACACCTCCCAAGACTCCTCGGGTAAATGGGTTAGCTGAGAGAATGAACAGGACATTAGTTGAAAGAGTAAGATGTCTTCTTTCACAGGCTCAGTTGCCAAGATCTTTCTGGGGTGAGGCTTTGAATACGGTTGTATATGTTCTTAATCTCACACCATGTGTTCTTCTTCGGTTTGATGTACCAAACAGAGTTTGGATTGGCAAATATGTTTCTTATGATCATCTCCACGTTTTTAGTTGCAAGGCATTTTTGCATATACCAAAAGATGAGAGATATAAGCTCGGTGTGAAGACATGACAATGTATCTTCATTGGTTATGGTCTCAATGAATTTGGCTACAAATTTTATGATCTAGTTGAGAAGAAACTAGTAAGGAGTTGTGATGTTATGTTTATGGAAGATCAAACTATACTAGATTTTGAGAAGATAAAAAAAGGAGTCCATCATATAGCAATGATTTGATTGACCTAGATCATGTTCCTTTATCAGTACAAATGGAATAGAATGTTCAAGATGACCAACAGGGTTCAGATGGTGCAGATGCTCCTATGTAGGTTGAAACAGATCACCAGACTACTGATCAGTTGCCAGAACTAGATATTCCACTCAGGAGGTCTATCAGAGACCGACCTCTTTCCACACGGTATGATACAGATGAGTATGTGTTATTGACAGATGAGGGAGAACCTCAATGTTAGACAAAACCGATGGAAGATGGAAACAGGGCAGACTGGGTTGGTACTATGGAAGATGAGATGCAGTTACTGTATGACAATCACACGTTTGAGCAGGTAAAGTTGCCTAAGGGTAAGAGAGCTCTAAAGAACAAGTGGGTCTACATGGTGAAGCAAGAAGAACACAGTTCACAACCATGATATAAAGTTAGATTGGTCGTCGAGGGATTCAGTCAGAGAAAAGGTATTGATTTTGATGATATTTTCTATCTTGTTGTGAAGATGTATTCCATACGTGTTGTTCTAGGTCTAGCAGCAAGCTCGGATTTAGAAATTGAGCAAATGGATATGAAAACTGCTTTTCTTCATCGTGAGTTGGAAGAAGAGATTTACATGGAGCAGCCAGAGGGTTTTGAGGTAAAAAGAAAAGAGGAGTATATATGCCGGTTAAAGAAAAGCCTCTACGGGGTTGAACCAAGCACCTAGACAATGGTATAAGAAGTTTGAGTCAGTTATGGGGGAACATGGTTACAAGAAGACTACTTCTGATCATTGTGTTTTTGTGCGAAAATCCTCTGATGATGATTTTATCATTTTATTGCTCTATGTTGATGACATGTTGATTGTTGGTAGAAATTCTTCAAAGATTGATAATCTAAAGAAGCAGTTGAGTAAGTCCTTTGCCATGAAGGACTTGGGACCAACAAAACAAATTCTTGGTATTCGAATTTGTCGAGATAGGAAAGGTAAGAAGTTGCACATGTCATAGAATGGTACATTAACAAGGTACTTGAAAGGTTCCATATGGATAAAGCTAAAGTGATTTCTTTTCCTTTATCTAACCACTTTAAGTTGAAATCGAGTCAAAGCCCTTCAACAGATAAAGAGCATGAAGATATGGAAAAGGTTCCATATGCCTAAGCAATAGGAAGCTGAATGTATGCAATGGTGTGTGTGAGGCCAAACATAGCTCATACAGCTGAAGTTGTTAGTCGTTTTCTTACGAATCCAGGAAGAGAGCATTGGGATGCAGTAAAGTGGATTCTGAGATATCTTCGAGGTACTTCCAAGTTAACACTTAGCTTTGGAAGTGGAAAACCAATGTTAGTTGGATACACTAATTCAGATTTGGCAAGAGATGAAGATTCTCATAAGCCTACTTCAGGTTATCTAATTACTTTCTCTGGTGGACCAGTTTCACGGTAGTCAAGATTGCAAAAGTGTATTGCACTTTCTATAGCAGATGCAGAGTTTATTGTAACAATGGAAGCTTATAAGAAGTTGTTGTGAATGAAGTGGTTCTTAAGAGAACTTAGTTTCAAGCAGCAGAAATATGTGTTGTTTTGTGATAATTAGAGTTCTATTCACTTGACGAAGAACTCGGCATTTCATTCAAGTTCAAAGCATATTGATGTGAGGTATCATTGGATAAGGGATACTTTTAACAATAAGTTGCTTGAACTTGAGAAAATCCGTATAATAAGAATGGATCTGACATGTTGACAAAAGTAGTGTCAAGAGAAAAACTTGAGGTTTGTTACTCAATTGCCGGGATGGCGGATCCCTCCACCTAATCGGGAAAGTGGGAGATTTGTTGGGTTTCCCTCTCATTTAGAGGAGCCCAAAGCCCATGTGTGGTCTAAGCCCATGTGGAGATTGAGGGTATTTTTGTCCATTCAATTGGCTAGGTTTTAAACACATTTTTTGTGTTTGGTTTGGGATGATTATTTTCAGTAGCAGGGAAGCAGAAAAGTAAAGGCAAAACAGAGAGCATTTTTCTGCATTTGTTATTCTGACCACCCTTTATCAAGTGCTCCGATGGAAGGTTATTTGTGGTTTGATTGAGCTAAAATCTTACAGACAGGTTCGACTCAAGCTTCTTCAATCTGAACAGTGGATTTGGATTTGGCTCAATGGTTAGGAAAATCTGGGTCGGTGAACAATAGCTGCGATTTTGGGCGAGATTTCTCCATTACCTTGAAATAATTGTTAGTTTTCAAGATATTGCATTCTTGATGATGATGTTGATTGTTTGCCTCTAGTTTTTATCTAGAGAGAGAACCATTCTACAATTATTTCTTGATAGTGGAAGTTTTGAAGATGGAGTGCCGTGGTTTTTTCCTTTCCTACACCGGGAAGGTTTTTCCACGTAAATTGATTGTGTAGTTTTGTGCATGTTATTTCATTTTGAGTTCTATTTAATTTCTTTTCTAATATATTCACAAAAAGAGGGAGATAAAAGAGAAATTTCGTTGTTTAGAACTTGATTTAAGTTTGCATTGATATTGTGATTCTCGTAACAGTGTGGTGTGGTGTTGATAAGAGAAGAAGAAGATGTTGGGCGGGATTAGCTATGGCAATGGGTCGAGTCGAGCTGGCTCGGCTTATGCGCACGAGCTCGGCTCGGCTCGGCTCGGCTCTTGCTCGTGTCGAGCTTGACTCAGCCCATTTGGCTCGCGAGCTCGGTTTTTAAGTTTTTTTTTAGCTATACTATACATTTTCTAAACCTTTAAAAATACATATATACATTTTCTAAACATTCTTTTAGATATACCTTTTGTAAACCTTATTTTTGGATAAAGTTTTTTTTTAAAATAAGATAAACCCTCATCCTTTATCCGAATTTGGGACCGCCTACTTCAATTTTGAGTAGGCGGAGTTAAAAATTGTACACGAACAAATTGTTACGTGTACAATTTTTAAAAAAAATTATAAAGGTATTATAATTTTTTTTTATGAATATGGTTAAATTAAATATCACTTAGTTGACGAGATGTAATTTCGGCATATTTATTTTGCAATCGAAAATGACCGTCTTGTCAGTTCTTCATGCACATAATGCTTCCAAAATATCTTCTTTCCGTCGGCCTCTGACCTCGGAGAGAATACTCTTACCTGCACTAAAAGCAGACCCTGAGCTACAGTACTAACCGGAGGTGTTAGTAGGTCTTTTGTCATCGCAAAAATCATTGGCCATCAACGTTCGTACATTCTCTAGAATTCAATTACTTCTTCTGAGCTTTTCTTAATTGTTTTGTTATTAGACATATTATGATTAAAGTAATCAATTAATTCAGCAAGCAACGCATTGGGACTTGCGTCCAATGTTTGATTACATGTTGTAGACAAATTACTACTAGATGAGACACATGCATTTGAATCATATCTAT